TATTTACTTGAAAGGCAGATTTACAGAGTGAGAGGGAGACACACAGAGATTTTTCATCCACTCGTTCATTCCAATTGTCTTAAATAAATCTTTAAAATCCAAATCTATTATGTTTACTAAAATTAAAAAATAACAGAAATGGTAGAGGCAGATGAGTAAAAATCAAAGAAAAGTATACTAGGAGACAGGAAGTTATAAGTTGATTTCTTCTTTACCTGATATTAATATACAGTTTTGTTCTAGGTTAGAGTTAAGATCTACCTGTCACAAAAGACCTACATAAATTCATTTTTCATTAAACACTTTCATAGATTGGCAAATATTTCACCTCCAATCCTGTTTGTCATTCTTCTGAGAAGTTTTACACCAAAATTTTTTCTCATATCCATGGGTTCTACATCTATAAATTCAACCAAACTTGTATTGAAAATATTTTTTAAAATAAAAATAATCAAAAACTTTGCACTGTACTAAACAGGTACAGATTTTTTAAACATGTCAGGGCCAGCACCGTGGCACAGCAGATAAAGCCACAGCCTGCAGTGCTGGCACCCCATATGGGTGCTGGTTCAAGTCCCGGCTGTTCCACTTCCAATAGGGCCCAGTGCTGTGGAGCAGCAGGTTAAAGCCCCAGTCTGCAGCACTAGCATCCCATATGCATGCCGGTTCGAGTCCTGGCTGCTACACCAAATATCCAGCTCTCAGCTACGGCCTAGGACAGCACTGGAAGATTGTGCAAGTCCTCAGGCCCCTGTACCTGCATGAGAGACCCAGAAAAAGCTCCTGGCTCCTGGCTCCAGATTAGCACAGCTCCAGCTGTTGTGGCCATTTGGGGAGTGAACCAGCAGATGAAAGACCTCACTCTCTCTCTCTGCCACTGCCTCTCTGTAACTCTGCCTTTCAAAAATAAATAAGTAAAACTTAAAAAAGAAAAAAAAAAGTGTCATTATTCCCTAAATTATACATGACTATTTATATAGCATTTACATTGTATTAGGTATTATAAGTAATCTAGACTTGAATTCAAGTATAGAAGAAGAGGGTGTAGACATTAAACTAAAATATTATGCTATTTCTATAAGAGACTGGAGTATCTGCAGATTGTGGTATCCATGGAGAGTAATCTCTGCAGACACTGACGGACAAGAAGACAGCAAGATAAAGAAAGTGAGCACAAAATTCTAAGCTAGAGTAAAATACTAGCATAGGTTATGGCTGTGAAATTTCAGTGGCAAAAGTCTCCTGCACTGAGCTTTTCAAGGCATAGCACAGAAAGACCTGTGCCATAGAAACATGATACCAGGGAGAGAAGATCCAGCCCTCGGCCTCCTAGTCACTGCACTTCTTTATCAGCACGCTTCAGGCACCTGTGAAGTGGTATTGGACATGTTGCCCACGCGGGCATGTTGAGGGAATCAAATAAGATTCCCTAGCAGAGACTTTAAAAAAACATCTACAGAAAGATTCTGAAAGAAAGATAACCTCTTAACTGGCAGCTAAAACTCTCTAGAATATCAAATAAGTAAATTTAGTGATAATTTTAGTAAAATTGGCTGAGAGCCCAGCAGATAGTAAAGACTGGGGAAGGTTTTCACTTTTATACTAGTTGTTTAGACCCATGGAGCTGTCAGTATTTCTATATTAATGGTTCATTGCTCACTCTCGCGTGCTCTCTCTCTCTCTCTCTCTATATATATATATATATAAATCTTCAATATATATTTAAAATGATATCTATTAAGCCAATTATTTAATTTACCTGCTTTATTTTCCCAAAAAGAAAATAGTTACATGACTAAACCATATATTCTCAAAGAGAGTAACATTTAGAATTTGGTGACTACAAAACTATTTATGCTTTTAGGTAAAATGTATACACACACACACACATAGACACAGTATACAGTATGTAAACAGATGTAGTGTATTGGTGTTGTTAAGATTTTGTTGGGGATGTTATTAGTACAAGTATATTAAGAACGGCTCCTGAGGTGATCATTGTAGAGCAATGTATTAAGTGGCTTCTTGGGACACCTGCATCCATATTGGTGAGCCAGTTTCAGTCCTGGCCCCTCTACTTCTGATCCAGTTTCTTGCTAATGCACAATAAGAGTGAGCAGATGATGACCCAACTGCTGGGTCTCTGCCACCCATGTGGAAGTCCTGGGTGGAGTTCCAGATTCCTGACTTCAGCCTGGCCCAGTCTTAGGTGTTGTGGACATTTTCAGAGCGAACCACTGAATAGAAAGAAAGCATCAGAATATTTTCATATTAATAATTTAAGAACAGCTTAAGAATCTTAACAGGCAAGATTGTAACTACAAGCTTATTGCTGTCCTCTAACTAATGGTCAAAATATTGAACATGATACTATTATATTAATAGTGTCAAAGAAAATGACCTTCTGAGCAGGTTACCCCAAACTAAAATGGTGGGGGCTTGCATGTTTGGTGGGTACAGAAAAGACTATATTCACATAGTATAAGAGAGGTGGCCCACTTTAGAGATGAGAGTAGTCCTTGCACTAATCATTTCTTTTATGTGGAGTTTGAGTCAATCCATTTTTCTTGATGCTGAGAGTCCAAAAGAAGGTGAGATCTACCTTCAGGAAATGTGTTAGGCAGAAATTCTATGAGAAAGTATGCTATTCAACCACTAGCCTTGTTAACTATTTCTGACTTTACACAAGAAAAATAAGAGTTTCTAATCACCAATCACTGCTATAAAGTAGGCCACTTCCTCCCCCAAACACAGAATATGTAGGATGATAACATTTATATATCAAAGCATTAATGGAGGCAGGCATTTGACACAGCAGTTGGGATATCACTGAGACACCCAGATTCTGGATTAGAGTGCTGGGTTTGAATTTCAGCCCCATTTCTGATTCCAACTCCTGCTAATATACACTCTGGGAGGCATCAGGTGATGGCTCAAGTACTTGGATCCCTGACACCCACATAGGAGATCTTGACTGAATCTCTGGCTCCCAGCTTCAACCTAGCCCAGTTTTGGCTACTGTGGGCATTTGAGGAATAAAATGGAAGATAGAATCTCAATCTCAATCTTTCTCTCTCTCATTCTCTCTCTCTGACTTTCAAATACATAAATTTTTAAAAATATATATTAGTGATTATACCTCTAAGCCACAGAGACACAAATGTTGCTACTCATTGAGGTCCTGTACACTACCTAGCCATAAAGCATACATCTAACATCTAGAATTACAATGTTTACAAAGTTTCAGCAATTTTGATGACAGTTTCAGCATTGCTCAGCATTTATGATCAACTGCTAATGTATGAAAGCAATTTGAAACAAAAGTTATAAAACCATGTTCAGTCTATTTCAAAAACAATTATCCTAGTAAACATTTCAATGTAATTTTTTAAAGTAAGTGTTTGAAATTTGAATCACTTCATAAAAATTCATCCCCAAAACACTGCTGTAAAAACCTTCCATCTAATTGGGAGAGATGCTGTAACATGAAGTTCCTACAAACTCATAAACACTCAGGAAATTTCAATCCCAGTTCCCACTTTGATCTTCTAGAGAATAGAGCAAGGGGTTCTTGAGGGTTTATAACAACAATGTCATTTGTCCCAAAGAATTATATTTTTCAGTTTCACATGAAGTGGGAGGGGAAGAGTGACTGCATGGTGAGGAAGAGGGCTATATTCACAATTAAAACTGTGAAACGCTAAACTCTATTATGAAGACAAATAGGAAAGTACAACTTCATTGTTGAAAACAATTTCCCTCCTATCAGTCCAAGGATTCATGCATCAATATTGTAGATGAACTGTTAATTACAAAATCAATTAAAAATTATTTCTAAAAACAGTCACGCGTCCCTGGCTCTCATGGGGGCAATTTGGGCAGAAGGTCTCATCTCACTAGGACCGCGCCAAATCACAAAGTCGTCATCCACAAGTAAGCAAAAGCAATCTGGTTTTTCATTTTTCAGCGCGGCTGAGCCCAGCCTGAGATTGATCGTCACATATGGCCCCAGAAAACAAACTGTCAATACCTTGAATGCTGCAGAATTTGAACAAATAGCCGTCCGCCCATTCAAGCCACTCATTGCATCCCATTTAACAGATTTTATTGACAGTTTCCTTCTTGTAATTAAAGGGAAAACTACTGGCCGGCAACCAAGATAAAGTTCAAAGATAGGGTCAAAACAAAAGCAGATGGAGGGGCACGGTGTGACTGTCAATGGTACATAGCATCAGAGCGTGCTATTGACACGCAGGTATCTAATGATCGGCACGTCATTAAAGAGGGATCTATCCTGAACTTTATGCAAATGCTGAGAGAGACTTAAGACCACAATAAAGCAGTAGGAGAGGCACAAAGGGAAAAACAACAAAGCACCAACGATTTTTACTTATTGGAGGTTGCTCCCTATTGTAGCACATTTCAGTGCGGATGGAAAGAACACTTATTCCCATAATTCTTAACCTCTCCTGCACAGGTAGGGCCTTTCAGGAAAATGCTCCTTCAGCAGAATTTGACTTCTAGAGAATTCCATCCAGAATGTTAGGGGAACTGCGCCTTTTGATTATCAAAATTGAAAACAACACTAAATATAGTTTCCCAGTAGCAAAGTTTTCATTTTCCAGGAGAAAAAAAGAGGTTAATGCATAGCTCTACTTCACTTATTTTGACTTGAGCACAAAAGACAAGAAAATGTTGTCCCCAAAGGGTCCATTTATGCTACTTGTACATGAGCTTGTGCTTCACTGAGATCCAAATTAATAAATGCATTGGATGGTGAAAGTTTCACAGCTTTCAATAAGCGAGAAAACTGAAAAATTATTCCCTGTAAGTGTACTTTTCTTATTTCAAACTTTTCACTAGAAAGCTACACTGATTATAATTTTGCTGACTCACACACAATTTACAAACTAGGTCTAGCAAATCCCTGAAGAAGTTAAGGGAAGGGGTAAAAACTGACATATTAAAAAATGCACCAACAATCATGTCAATATGCCAACCTGAATTAGCAAGAGCTATAGCTTTGAGGGTGACAAATTCTTCTTTCTCCAGCTTCATGCTCTTGTATTTCTTTACCAGCTGCAGAATAGCATTATTGAGGTCAAGAAGGCCTGCTAATTTGGACTGGTCTTCGTCCATTATATAATCATCTGCATAGACAAGTTCATCTTCAAACGATAGAGATCGGTATACGACACCAAGGATCAAAATTTCCATCCACGCACTCTGCAGAAGGCTCATCTGGTCCGCCAGGGACAGGGTGGAGAAGCCTGTATGGGAAGAGAGGCAGACCAAGTTACTGAAAGGCCGCTTCACAATGCAAAGTTAATCTCCTATGGCATTGGGCTCCACATTGGAGCCCACGGTGATGCACAGCTTTCATCAAAAGCTCTGAAAAACTTTCCCCTGGTCATTTTACCCATGTGAAGTAAAAGCCGAAAACCAGTTTCAATCTGTTGGCCTTTTCTATAGGTTTTGTAGACATGGCTATATAGATAGAATGGAGACGTGGTTTTCTTTCTTCCATCTGAGAAGAAAATACAATGTCATCTTTAAGTATGCGTGGTTTCTGGCTGTATGCTCTAGAAATGTGTGAGAGGAAGTCATATTTACACTACCTCATCCCTACAAACTACCAGTGATAAACAACAAATAAGCAAAAATAAAAAAGCCCCCAAATAAAAACAATTTAGCCCACACAATACAGTACATCTTGGAAACGTTTCTCTCTAATAGTCACAGAGGATGATGACTTTCAACCAGATCAAACTTCTTAACTAGATATTTTGTCCTCACGGATATTTAACATGAGTTTCTTTTAAAAAAATTTACTTTTCTATTTTATTTGAAATGCAGAGAGAGAGAAATATATACAGACAGACAAGCAGACTCTTAAAGACCTTCCACCCACGGGTGCATTCCCCAACGGCATGCAACGGCGAGGTCTCAGCCAAGCCAGAGCCAGGAGTCTGGAAATCAGAATAAATCTCCCCTTTAGGTGACAGGGTCCCAACCACGGGGGCCATCACCTGCTGCCTCCCATGGTGCACATTTGTAGGAAGCTGGAATTGGGAACAGAGCCAGGACTCAAACCCAGGCCCCAATATGGGATGTGGGCATCCCAAGTGGTATCTTAACGGCTCTGCCAAACATGTGCCCTGAAATCCTTTTAAAATGGTGTTTATTGAGATAAAAGAAAGTGGAAAACTTAGCCACTTGGCCTCTGTAACAAATTGAAAGGTCACAGTAAGATTCTATTATTTAAAAAGTTAGACATAGAGGCAATGGGGTTTGGTAGAAAGGATATGAGTGAAGTGGTCTCTTAATTGTAAATGTTGGCTCCACTCAGCTACTGCAGGTTTCATCTTGAGCAGTACCCTAATATATGCCTGTGTGAAATAAAAAATAACACCCAGCTAAGCACTTGTTTATGATAGGTAGCCAACAAATGTTACTATGTTGGTTTTATCTGAACTATTTGGTGGTTGCTTCAATTCTTTATTGCAAATCTGAGCTGCATCCACACAGGTATACTTAAAGTCCCTTCTGAGCTTGAGAAAACATAATAACAATTTTTGAAGAAACTGTCATTCCACAGGGAAGGATGAGGAAGTACAATTAAATCCACTTGAAGTAAAACTGCTTATATCCCAGAGGGAATGGATCTATATTCTAGAAGCTTGTACTGGTGAAGATTCCTGCTGATCAGATACTTTTTCCAAGAGTCCTACCGAAGAAATGTTTCTTAAAACTTGCCTTTCTCTTCCAATGTATGTCTAGGAATTCCAAGGGTGCCCACCCACCACTGTAGTTCCTGAGGACAATGGTACTGTGAATACTTCATAATTCTACAGAAGGGCACAGGCGACATGTTCAATAATGCAACATAAGAAGTCTCTGGCTACTGCCCTCTTAGATATTGTTACCCAAATCATAAACATCCACTATGGCCAATCTTTTGAGGTTTCTGTTTATGGTCATTGTTGTCATTTTTATTCATATGAAATTGTTCAGATCCCACAAGACATTACATACTACAGCAGCACAATCAAGAAAAAGGTTTCCCGAACTATTGGTTACAATTAGTGACTTGCCGTTTGGCTCCATGACTATATGAGCTTAATAAAACCATCAACAGGAATTAGTTGAGCTTTAAGGGGATGTTGGCATATGTTAAAAAGCATTTCTTTCATTTTTTATCAAGATTCTTACATGCTACTTAGGAGTTAAATTAATAAATACCATCTCAGAGCTAAAGATATAATAAGTGATAATATTGAAAAACAGGGACTGGGGAAAAAAAAAAACAGTGATCTAAACTGAATATGCTTGGCTCCAGGTGCTTTGGAATTGGAGAATGTTATTCTCACACAAAACAACACCACCACCACACATTGCTTTTTTTTCCTATCTCCCCCTAAAAAAACCAGAATGCAAAGCCAGATAAGCAACTCAAAGAAATAGACCAAATGGGAATTTCTTTGATAAATTAAATAGAAAACAACAGCAACAACTTCTCATCAGAAAAGTTAGGAGCAGGAAGAAACGGGTCTCTTCCCTGAGTTTTGCTGTTGCTGTGCACGCCGCCAGGCAGCAGTTCCCTGCAGCAGCAGATGGACAGAGCACACAGCCCGCAGCACCTTCCTCTGACAGCCCTATTCTCTCGCCCAGACACTGCTGTTAGTAAATAGATTTACACATTCTCCAATCTCCACACATCTTTCTGCCGAATAATTAAAAGCAGGATGATTAGTTTATTGAGTGGAAGGAGGAACTTTTTTATTGAGGTCCATCCATGATTTTATCAGGGCTAGCACTTTTACGGTTGTCAGGGGGGTGCAGGCATCCAATTTTTCTTATCTGCCTGATTAATACAAACGCTGTTTCAGGACGCATTAATTAACAGATACAAATCTACGTTCTCATGGAAGGATCAATACAGAGAAGAAAAGAGGCATCAATGTGAATTTAGTGCTGATGATGGAGAAGGCACACCATCGACATTCACGTGTGCCGAAAGTTGAAAGTTGCACGGGGCCCCTTTGTCCCTGTGATTTACAAATTAACAATTTTCCAGCCACAGCAACATTTCACACATTTCTTTGGGGTTTAATTAAGCAAAAAGCAATAAAATTTCATTTTTTTAAGGTGGATCCTGCCATTTATTTCTTCTGTGTCGATGGCTTTCTCTCTGTGTGTGCTTTTATCCTTCCTGCTAACTTCACTTTTTCCTCTCCTTGCGCTTCTCCATGAAATAAAGAAAAGGAAAAAAAGAGAAGGTTCTCTTTTTATTTGCGTGTTTGTTTATTTTTTGATCTGGGAGCATGGGGTGATGCCTATTGCACAAAAGGTTTGACAAGTTTGCTTGCTTGATACCATCAAGTCTGTTTTGGCTGATTAACCAAAATGTAATTTCTGCAAAATCATAGGAAAAAGGAACGGAAGAAAACAAGAGCCTGGACTTGAGTCTCCTCTCTCAGTCCAGAAATAGCTGCCTCGAAATTTAACCCTTTACCACCACACGTCTGAAATCTGGAAATTGGCACAAAGAGCTCTTCTGGACCTAATAAATGCATGAGTGGCAGTCGAACAGGCTGGTTATGAGACGGTTATGTTCATTTGGTCACGAAGGAGGCCAAACACATAATCAGGTTTTATTTTAATAACATAAAATCATTCTGTCTGCCCCGTAGGATTGCTAGCTATATGGAACATACAGAAAGACACATGAATGAAACAATATTTTTATCAAGAGGCCTGAGCAAAGTATGAACACTTAAATGACCAAGGCCTAAATAAAAATGCATGTTTGAATAAATTGAATCTAAGGAATTTTTCAAAAAACACGATTGCTCTACTGGCTTGCAAACACATCTATTCCAATAATTACTTGTGTGCATTTTTACCAGGCATTTAATGGGCTTCTGCAGCTATCAGCTTACAAGTTAGAGGTCCTCTCATCTATAATATTTAGCTATCTTTGGCAAGAAAAGGTTTCCCAAGTGAAATAAAATATGCTTCACAGTTGTGTTGTTTGTACTTCGTGTTTTGTCCATTCAAGAATCTAAATCTTTAGAGTGTGACAGGTTATAGTTTTAAATGTTCAGTCCGTAGTACAGCTTTTTAAAATACCCTGATACTGTGGTGCAGTTTTTTTTTTTTTCCCTGCCCCAACTACGGCCCATTCTCTGCATACTGCTGACAACTCTGATCTCTCTTCATCTCTGTCCTGGAGTCAGTGCCATTTAATGTATCTCAGGCATTTTGCTAGCAGAATGACTCTCTACCTTGACCCGCAGTTAAATAGCATGTTTATCTACAATCCAGCGTGCTCCAAATAAGCCAGATGACAGTTGGGAGAAACATCGTTTGGAGGGATAGAAATGTTGCCCGAGAGGCAGGTACCCCGCGGTAATAGGCTTGAGGAAAGCATGTTTGGTGCCACCCTCTTGCCTTCTTCGGCTGGAAACTTCTAGGCTGACAGTGGTGCCATGGGCAGTTGTCAAGCACTTTTTTTTTTTTAAGCCTGGCAAACTGATGCACTTTGCAGTCAACATACAAAAAAAGGCTAAGCATTTGAAAGTGTGAAGGGCAAAAAATATCTGACGGCTAGTCTTCAAAAATACACTTTCATTTCAGAAAGCATAAATGTTTATTTCCTGAACAGAGTGTTGACAGAAATAGGCTGCAGCACCGGCATTTGGGTTTAACCCGTGCTAGGCTTTGGGCATTGTCTGCTGCTTTCTCGAAACAGAGAGCACACATCTTAAATCTTCAGGGTGTCTATTGGTATCAAGTAATCATGGCATTGATTTGCTTGCTCACAGTTTTAAACTGTAGTTTCTAGGTTCCACCAAAAAATGTCACTTTTCAACAAATAGCGTATCAGGCCAGAATTGTAATTATGCCATAATGACTCACTGAGATGGCAAATGAAATTCGTAGTGAGAAGATGATTGAGTAACAGCATAAGCTAGATTCTTTTTCTCCCATACAAATAAACCTAACGTTTCAGGAATGAGGGAAGAAAAGAACAACAGAGACACTAAGACTTGATCTTGGTGACCGTAAGACACACAGATGCTTAACCCTTGCTGGAGATAAATTTACGTCATATTTTAAAGCCAGTTTCTCTTTTTTTCAAATGGGCAGATGCATCACTTGTTCTATGATTCACAAAATATACTGCCCTGACTCTTATAAGAGATTTTATTTATATGTGTTTACTTCAGGACTGAAACTCAATAAGAGCTACAGTTAAGCGAGAGTA